CCGGGAGTGGCATCACTCTGTCCACCCAATGGAGTGGGTCAAAGTGGAGCAGGTGACACAGGGGACAACCCGGAAGGCGGGAGAGGGAGGCAGCACAGAGCCATTCCTGTCTGTGAGGACAGGAAACAGTGGGAAGAGAGGCAGGCTGACGAGCACAGGATGGAAGAGAACCTGTCTGCCCTACCAGGACTTCTGAATTTGACTTGAACAAAGTGGCACTTATGCTTTAAAAACAAACAGCGGCGTGGCCTAGTGGCTAAAGTCCTTGGCTTGAGCGCGCCGAGATCCCATATGGGCGCTGGTTCTAATCCCGGCAGCTCCACTTCCCATCCAGCTCCCTGCTTGTAGCCTGGGAAAGGAAAGCAGTGGAGGACAGCCCAAAGCCTTGGGACTCTGCACCTGTGTGGGAGACCTAGAAGAAGTTCTTGGCTCCTGGCTTCGGATCGGCACAGCACCAGCTATTGCACTCACTTGAGGAGTGAATCATCAAAAAAGAGAAGATCTTCCTCTCTGTCTCTGCTCCTCTCTGTATATCTGACTTTCCAATAAAAATTAAAAACAAAATAAATCTTAAAAGAAAAAAAAAAACAGTTTCCCACACAGCTGAGGGCCCAGGAGCTGCCTGTCACCCAGCTCGCCTGGGACAGGCTTCTGGCAGGTGGCTACTATGCCCACTACTGCCCTATCGGGGGGCAGCTTGTGGATGCGGGTGCATAGTCCACCACCAACACTGAGAACATGGCACTGCTGCACAGTGGCCGGGGTCAGACACTGGTGGAGCAGGGAACTCGAGGGCCCCTGGCTTGTCACTTCTCGAGCCTCACAGGGCAGTGGCCAGGTTGTGCCTGCACGTGCACCTCAGCCAAGTCTGGCTTCCTTGCCTGTCAAGCAGGTCAGTGATGGAGGAGACTTCTGCAAGCATCTCCACCTACAAGCCTGCACTGGGCAGCCACATGCCAGGTGTGCCCCTGTCCTGCACGGACAGCTAACGTGGGCCTTGGGGGACAGGTTGCCCAGTCCCAGGTGGGCAGTGTAGTGGACACAGAATTCCCTGCCTGAGCTAAGCAGGAACAGCTGAGGCCTGGGTGTTCAGCTCCCAGCCGTGTCAAACCGCAAAGATGACGGCCAAATGGCAAACACTAAGCCGCCAATCCATAGCAGACCCTTACCCGCGAGAGGAGGGCAGGGCCTGGCTACAGGCAGGAGCTAGCACAAGACGCATGTGCCATGGGAGCACTTGTTTTACAGTAAGGAAGGGTGTGGTGGCCCTGACAAGAAGGGGGTATGGCTGGCGCTCCAGCCATGCAACTGTTTCCCAGCTTCTGGCCTGGGCGCTGACTGGGAGGTTCTGATATCTGCACTGCTGGCTCAGCCTGGCTCAGGTGGCTCACCACACCTGACTTCTGTGTACCTGGAAGCCTCAGCCCGTTGCCAGCCCCCCTCCAGGGCACCTGGAGCCCCAACTGGTTCCATATCCATCATCCCCATGTGTGTGTTTATGTGGGGCTCGTGTGTGTAAGGGGACATGCCTTTCTCATTAGGCTGGTATGGGAGCCCGCTGCAAGGAAAGGGAGTGGAGCCAGGTCCTCCAGTGGGCAGTGGGACAGCCGGAGGTGGCAGACTGCAGCAGTGTCTGGGAACTCGAGTTTAGCTCCAGCGTGACTCTGCCCTGCCCACGGATGACACCCATGCAGGAAAACCCAGGCGCACTGTCAGCCACATGCCAGTACAGTGCCACAGTCAGTGCCACAGAAAACACTCTGGCGTGAGCAGACACTACTGACCACTTTAAGGAAGTGTGTGCAAACGCTGGGAAAACCAGGGCAGCTGCCCGGCCGCCATGCTCCCACAGGATTAACCTCACAGTCCCAGACACCATCTACGACCCGCCACACCAAACTGCCCCACTGCCCAGGGTGGCCTGGTCACTCGCCATGCATCCTGCCCAGTTCCCCAGGGGTCCAGATGAGGCAGGTGGCCCCAGAGCAACCCAAGACCTGACATGGTTCTGCCTGGAGCCATGAGGGCTGTAACACCCACTGTCAGGGCCTCTTCCTGAGCCCTAGCAGCAGCCCCACCCGTCTGTTCTGCCCGATGGTCTCCTGTGTCTGCAACAGGCATTTCTCCCCCACCCCGCCCCCGGCAAGCAATGTGTAGTGCTCAGAGGCTTGCAACACCCAGCCGGGGCTGGCAGGTGCAAGGCAGAGCAGTCTTCATGACTTTATGGCCTGGCCCCTGGCTGCTGGGGTTGCAGTGTTGGCAGGAGGTCCCCAAAGAACAGCAGTTGCCAACACAGCTAAGCCCCTCACAGCCATGGCCCCACACTGCCCACTTCAGCAGCTCCACAGGGGCACTAAGGTTGCTGAGGGTGGAGGGTGAGGGATGGCATGGGGACAGGAAGCTGCCCTACCTCCTGGCACCTCACACGGGGCACAGGAAACCCACATTAACCACTCTAGCGAGTGATGGAAACAGAAGAGAAACCGGGGCTGGACCCCGAGGAAGCCCGACAGCAGGAAGCTTGTGGCTCCCCCATCCAGGCCCTCCAGACCCCTTCACTCTCCCAGCCCTAGGCAGCGACAGAGGCAGACCCAACTCTCCAAGCAGTGGTGACTTCCAAGGGACCCCACCAGTTCGGCACCAGAGGCAGAGCTTCTGGGACTCAGCGGGGGGTTCCATGGGCCCTGCCTGGCCTTGGAACTTGGTGGACCAGCCATGCTGCACCCCAGGGACAGTCAGCCACCTCCGGGCTAGGACATGAGCACCTGGGGTACAGGGGACGGGGCGGCCATGTGTGGAGATCTCCAGCTGCTGAGTATCCTCAAGCCACCAAGCACGCCCTCTGGCTAAGGCAGCCTCGCCCGCATGCCCATGTCAGGGTCCCACACGAGGTGGTCTCCCGCCTGCCACCAGGTCCCTCCCGCCACTGTCACACAGCAGGCCTGCACGGAGTTCCCGGATCACGGGAATCAACACACAGGTGGCTGTTCCCAGCCCCCTGCTTTCTGATTAAAATGACAGAACAGAAGCCTCTCCCAGGGTTTGCGACAGCAGGGCTCCAGCTGGTTTACCACTTGCTCTTCTCGGTTCCCTGATGTTGTGAAAGACAAGGGTGCGACACTGGGCACACCAGACTAGACGACATAAGCTCGTGGCTGTGATGGCCCTCAGTGAGGGCCAGCAGGGAGGCCCGCCAGCCGTGCTGTCCGCAGCTGAGAGACGGTCCCTGCACGCACAGCCTGTCTTGGGGCACTGCCTCATGACACCTTGCTCCCCTAGGCCAGCGTTATCGGTCTCATGTCTCAAGTCTCCCACCAAGGAGCTGCCTCCCTGCCGACACCTCCACTGTCCAGCAGCTAGTGTTGGAGGTGGCCAAGAACCGAGTCCTGGTGCCCCATGTCTGACCACCTGGATGCCAAGTGCTTGCCCAAGTCACAGACATGTACAAGGAGCCTCTTGGCATAGTCTCCCCCTGCCCACTGGGCCTAGGAGGAGCCATGCCCCACCAGCTAGGGGTGCCTGCTGGTTTCTGTTCCCATGGCTCTTTCAAAGCGGAGCTGGCAGGTCAGATCACTGTCCCCCATCCCAGTCAGCACTCTACAACCTTTTCAGGAATGGTTAGTGAAGACAAAAGACGAGGTAGTGTCAGGCATGAATCAGGTGACACAAGATGTGCCCTGGTGCCATCGATGGCCACCAGCCCCGATGGAAGGACCCGCCTCTGCATGCTGCACACTACACATCTGTGGTGCTCCCGGCCCGTGGGCACCAGGTGGGGCCTGGTAGATCTTTAAGGGAGGAGAAACCTGGGATGGCACAGCAAGACATGGTCCTAAGCCACAGCTATGGGGGATTCAATTACCTTGCCTTGTGCGTGCAGAATTCTAGAACAAGCTGGGGCTTGGACATGGTGGGCCCGTAGGCCAACTAGACAGCACACAGGGCTAGGGAGCTGGAACACATCCTGACAAAGCTCCAGGGGGCTTCCCACCCTGGGCCTGATCCTGACACCATGGATGGTCACTCAAGCAGCAGAGCTGAGGCCAAGGAGAGGCTCCAGAGCAGCCTGGATGGGCCCGGTGCTGCAGCCTAACGGCTAAAGTCCTCACCTTGCACACCTGGGGATCCCATTTGGGCACTGGTTCTAATCCTGGCAGCTCCACTTCCCATCCAGCTCCCTGTTTGTGGCCTGGGAAAGCAGTGGAGGATGGCCCAAAGCCTTGGGACCCTGCACCAGCGAGGGAGACCTGGAAGAGGTTCCAGACTCCTGGGTTTGGACCAGTGTGGCTCCGGTCATTGTGGCTACTGGGGGAGTGAACCAATGGATGTAAGATCTTCCTCTCTGTATACATGACTTTCCAATAAAAAATAATAAATAATCTTAAAAAAAAAAAAAAAAAAAGAAAATGGCCAGCGTGGACGTCAGGCAGAGAATTCAAGGGTCATACACAGGGGACATGCAGACTCGCCCAGAGGGAGGCGGTCAGTGGTCACCAACTGTCATGGCATGGGCTGTTCCTTTCACCCACAACAGTCCCAAAGGCTCAACCAACACTTGTCTGCCAAACCCACACTTGCATGCCAGTATCGAAGGCTCCGCACCCCAGAGAGAACGGGCTGGCGTTACGGTACAGCAAGTGGCCGCTGCTTGCAGCACCTGCATCCCATAGGATGCTGCTTCAAGCCCAGGCCACAGGGCTTCCCGGCCAGCTCCCTACCGATGTGCCTGGCAATGCGATGAAGCTGGCCTGAGCTGCCTGGGCCCCTGCCACCCATGGAATAGACTCCGGTGGAGCTCCTGCAGTCACGGCATACGGGGAAGAGAAGCAGCAGGTGTAAGATGAGTCTTCGTCCCCACTACCACTCTGCCTTTCAAATCAATACTTCAAACACAGTAACAGCCAACAGACAGGAGCACCTGCCCCAGCAGGCGGAGCAAGAGCGACCCGTGTCAAGGGCTTCCCGGAACACTTGCACACAGTGCTGGGCGCAACACTTACCAATCTGCAGCAGGATGGGTGTGACCAGCGCGGTCTCCATGGCGTAGCAGAACTCCCTGCCAAACATGACGGCCCCGTGCATCACCCACAGGCGTATGGGGATGCGGTCTATGGAGCCCTCGCTGAGGGTCTCGTCGCGGGGCTCGGCCTCTGGGCGCCCTGCCTTATGCAGCTCCGGCACGGACACGGGCAGCTCCTGAACTTGCATAGACTCGGAGTCGGCATTCTGCGGAGCCATTCTCATCACCCCCGAAAAATAGATATGTGTGTATATATATATCTCGATATATATTTACTCTACCTACATAAATAACACTAACATATATCTTCAATGATAAATTACGACGTCTTCTCTCTCCGCTTCGGGCGTTCCTCAGGCAGGTGACACCAGTGCTGCTCTCGGTTCGGCCAGCGATCTCAGGCTTGCCGTCGCTTGAGGCGTGCAGTGGAGCGCGAGGGCTTCTGGCTGGACTTTGGACATATGGCTGGCTGGCTTACTGCAAGTTAGAGTTAAAAATCCATAATGGCCATTCAGTTAATACCAGTTTCATCATCATTACGGAAGAGGTGCTGAAGGCGCTCTTCTTGCTGCAGTGTGGTGGGGAGGCGACAGACACAGCAGGTGCACGGACGATCCCCATCGAGCGACTGGAGGATCTGCAAGAGAGAAGGATGACCGACCATGCTCAGGGAGCCGGCCACAGCCCTGGCCACGGGGGCACAGTGGAGTGTGGTGACTGGGAGGAGAGGACTAGAGAAGACCACAGCAAGCCTGGTCCTTCGCCCAGGCACAGGATCACCCGTGGGTGCTGTGGTACATGAATGTTCCAGCATGGGTGGAGGGCTGCAGGAGAAGACAGTGGGTGAGGCAAGGGGTGCACAAGAGCCCGCCCGAGACTGTCACCTCCATCCTGCTGGGGGGCAGGGCTGGGCTGCGGGCTCCTTGCCCAGCTCTCCCTGCGCTGCTTCTGGCTGAGGCTAGAGGGTGATCCGTGTGAACACCCTCAGTGCTACGTGCCAGGGCTTCTGGTTGCCTGTTGATGCCTCTCCCATTTCCTACAGCCCCGGTGGAGCAGCCTTCCAGAGGCACAAGCTCCATCCCACCCCCCAGACCCAGTGTGGGAGCGTGGGTGTGACACTGCAGCCAGCACACCCACGGGGCAGCGGGGATGGCTAAAACAACAAAGCTCCCCCTCTGACTCAGGAGTTGTGGGGAACAGGGAGTGAGTCCCCACCTCTGCCTTAGGCGGGCTTGCTCCCAGCTGTGGTGGGTACCTGGAGGATTGAACCTATGAATGGGAGAGAGGGATGTGTGTGTGTGAATCCCTGGACTACTGGACAAAGGAGCAGCCTGCAGGGACCATTTCCCAGCTGGGAGAAAATGAGTCACTCTCCTTTCTGGCTCCAACATGGGACTGGACGCTCAGGGACCCGCCCCAGGGCAGATGCATGAGGATGATGGAGCTGCAGCCGCAGGTGCCCGATAAATCCCATCTCACCTGGAAACATCCAGGGCTCTATTTGTGGCCTCATGGCCCTCGCTACGTCAGTCCTAGACATGAGTAAGCTCTGCCCTGAGTCACTGCACTACCAGCTACGGATCAGACCACGCAGCCAGAACACACCTGAGTCCTCCTCATGACAAAGGTGGTGCTCCAAGCATGCCTCTGTTGTCACAGTGGGAGGCGGACAGGGAGGGAGAGGACACTCAACGGCAGGCACTGTGGTGGCCACTACCCTGGCACCAACAGCCCCCAGGGCTCAGAAACTGCACTCCCAGCTCCCCATCAACAGGGAAAGGCTTCCCTTGAAAAGGTTACCACACACTGAGCCAATCCAGCTACTCTATGCTTCCAATCCGACTTCCTGCTAATGTGTTTGGGAGGTGGCATGTGATGGCCCAAATATGTGGGTCCCTGCTACCTGCTGTGGGAGACCAGGATGGAGTCCTGGGCTCCTGGCTTTGGTCTGGCCCAGCCCTGGTGGCCTGGGCCATCTGGGGAGTGAAGCAGCAGATAGAAGAAACCCTTGCAGCGCCCACAACACCTGCCCTTCAAATAACTAACTAAATGTTTAAATCCTGTGGGCCGCTTTCCGCTGCCTCTTCTCCATTCTGTCTGGTCACTCCATCCATGCTCACGGCAGGAGCAGGCCCACGGTCATAGCCTGATGACCTCGGAACAGGGTGGTGCCAACAGGTCTTCAGAGTAGCCGTGGAGTATGGGCCTCAGTGGTGATGGCACGGTGGGGGAGTTACTGGCAGCCACTTGACCACTACTCTGCTCCCAATCCACTTCGCCAACCTCCCCCAGGGCACAGCTGGAGAGTGCCTGGCCAGGTCCCAGCCATGGGAAGGTGACCAGTGAGGCTACAAGCTCTTCTCCAATGCCCACGGCTGCATCCCAGCCCACGGCTAGTGCCGGGGGGCGCTGCTCTGAAATGCCAGCTCTTCCTGCCCCAAGGTGCCTCCCGGAAAGCAGCTGTCTAGTCCACAGAGCCCTGGGTCGAGCTATGCCCACAGGTCACGGTCAGGGTGAATGACAGGACAGCTCGGGCAAAGGAGCCTCGGGAGTCCATCGATGCAGGACAGTCTGCAGGTGAGATGCCCGCAGGGCCCAGGTGTGACCAAGAACATGGCCTGGGACTGTGGGCGCTGGGCAGCCCCGCCCCGCACTCTGCACTGTCCAGGCTCCGCAGGGACGGAGCGGTGACCCTCGCAGCTGGGCACCCGCTGCTGGTTGCCTGTGTTCCTCACACTCTCCCCAGGGCTCACAGGGAGACCCCACTTTCCCACAGCCCTCGGCGCCCTGCCTCTCTGCCTCTCCTCTCCCACAGCTCAAGTCACCCACGACTTTTTGGAGGAGCTTCTCAAGGCTCCCCGGGGCCCTTGAGAACAGGGCGGCTCTGCCACAGCAGCAGAAGTCCTGCAATCCCACCTCTCCTGGTGCGGCTCCCTGAAGGCGCCCGCAGCTTCCAGGCCTGCCTCACTTACTACCCCTCTCCTGCTTTGTGGCCAGCTCCCCTGCAGGAGCCGGGAGGGGTTTACTGAGAGCACAAGGATTTGGACGGACGGATGGCCGGCCACCTGGCACATGCTGAGGGGCTGCGTGCAGGGGAGGGCTGCCTCCGCCCTGCCGGCTGGGCCTGACAGCAGAGCCGACAAGATGGGCAGGAGGCGGTGTGGGTTTACCTGTTACTCAGGAAGTCTGGGCATGAACACAGCTCCCCTTCCTCTAGCAGCACAGATGCGGCCAGCAGATCCTACGCAGGCAATGCCACTGTCATCTATAGCGACGAGAATGACAGAGTGTTAGCGTCCTGCACGCGGGGAAGCAGTGGCCAGCAGGCAGGCCCATGGATCCACCCACAACGACGGCCTTCTAGACCAGAGGATGGCGTGGGCTGACACGGCACCCCTGGAGACACACTCTGCCTCAGCGCCTACGGCTGGCTGCACCTGCCATGGCTACCGTCACGTGAGGTCAGCTCACACGGGTGTCAGAGGAACAAAACGCACACGTGTCAGGTGGAACTGCTGCAGCGGGGAGGGAGAGGCGGCGGTGGCCTGTCCTGAGAGGAGAGCTGGGGGGGGGGGGCGGGGCAGCCAGCAACCTTGTCCCCTCCCCCACCGCCGAGTGCCTCCCTTCACGGCCATGGCTAAGTGGGGGTTCCCAGGACCCAGAAACAAGGGGCTTGGTGCTTCCACATGGGTCTTTACAAAGTTGGCTGGTTGGGCAGGCCCTGGAAGGCCCAGCCAGCTTCACCTGCTCCCCACAGCCATGTGGCGGCTCCTTGGACCCATGTGCAGCACTTGTGCCAACTTTGCCTCCCCAGTGCTCTGTCCTAGGCAGAAGCGCAGTCACTTGGCTCACTTGCCCTGCTCCCCAGATTTTCCTGGTCACCCCTGAGTCCAAGTGCAAGTACTCAGAGCATGTGAGCTGCTGAACTGCTCGGGGCAAGCGCAGTCCAGGCCCCGTGACATCCCTCAGGGGCCTCCCGGGGGCTGGAAGCTTCGCATGCTCCTCCAGTCCACTCACAACTTCCCCACATCACAGGCGCTGTCCAGCTTCCGTCCCGACTGGCTCGTCTGGACACACGAGAGGTGGCTCTTACAGCTGCGCAGGCACCACCGTGGTCCTGCTCAGTCCAAACCAACTCGGCTCCGGCCTGTTCCTGGGGACTGGCCAGGCTGCCCCTCCCCAGCACCAGGACGCTCCCTACATGTCCTCCCAACATGGGCCCTTCCCAGGAGCTGTGGGAAGAAAAGGGAGGAACGGGCAGGCCAGCAGGCACCAGATACTTCAGCATTTTCAGAAGGAACCCTTGGCCCCACGGGGCGGCTCACTGCCCAGCGATGTCCGTGAGGCCATCTGCCCAGGTGCAGGGCTTAACGTGCCCTTGTCCTTCACCCAGGAGATTACCCCCTCCACCATACCCCCAAGCTGCTCTGAAGGCAGAGAAGCTAAGAGTTAGCTGCGAGCCTTCTAGAATCTTCTATCCCAGGACCTGTGCTCTAAGTCCAGCTTCTCAGCACAGCAGCAGGGCTCGGCGGGGAAGCTGTGTGCGACCTACTCCAGGGACAGCATCCGCACGAGCAAGGCGGGGCTGCCGCAATGAACGCGTGACTTCCCACCGCATGCTGCCCTTAGGGGCAAGGCCTGCCTGTGAACCCTGTCTCACCCAAAGGCTTGCTGGGTAGATCTGGGTTCAAGTCATGGGTTACTGAGCAAGGAGCATTACCAGAATGCACACACTTCCTGCCCTGACAGCACGGGCTCACACCACCCTGAGAGACCCCTGCCCCTCCCAGGGGTGGCCTGCCCTCCAGATCCCACAATGGCCACAGCCGCCATCTTCGACTGGTGGGCGATAAAAGGGAGGCAGGCTGGGCACAGCTGACCTCCAGCGGCCCAGCTCCACGGCAAACTCGTGTGCTCACAACCTGAGAGATGGGGTGTGGACGAGGGGCGTGCCCGCCCAGCAGGGCCACAGAGACCAAGACTTTGCCAATCACTGCTTCTCAGATGTGTCCTAAGCATACCAGTGGGCTGAAAGGCCACAGGTGGACCCTGCCCTGCCCAGCCTGGGACTGCCCGCCTTGGCTTTCTTCCACGACGACCCTGGCTCGGGATCACAGCCATCTAGTTCAGCTTCTACCACATGGGGGTCCCCATCTTGGCCAGCCTACTCTCTCAGCTGCCCAGTGCACAGGGTGAAAGGGGTGGGATGGGGGTCAGCCTTAGGTCAGGGACCACAGGGAGGCCAGAGAAACGAGCCAGCACTTCATCAACATGGTTGGCTTCCAAGGCTGGAGTGTTCACAAAGCCAAGACCGAAGCGGCTGGTCTGGACGCGCCCAGGAGGGATTGCGAGCTCCTGGTGGTTCTGCTCCCGAGAGGCAAGAAGAGAATCCCACAAGTCTCCCACCTTACGTTGACAAAGGTCAGCAGAATGAATGGGGCGCAAGCCGCAGATAGAAACTCCCTGCACAACCACTGCAGCCCCACATACACAAACAACTCCCAGGACTGACAGGGAGACGGGCATACCGCACGCCGGTCCACTGGCAGTGCCTGGCTGGGGTCCTGGCTCCTCCCCACTAACATGCGTCCTGCCAGGTGGCAAATCTGTCCAGCTGAGTCCATGCTGCCAGCCGCAGCTACTGTGGACATTCAGGGAGCGGGCCAGAGCAGACCTCTCTCTGTTGTTGTGTTGTGGTACAGCATGTTGAGTGCCCCTCAATGCCAGTATCCAACATGGGGGCCAGTTCCCGTTCCAGTTGTTCCACTTTTTTTTTCTTTAAAGATTTACTTTTTTTTTTTTGGAAAGTCAGACATACAGAGAGGAGGAGAGACAGAGAGGAAGGTCTGTGTCCGCTGATTCACTCCCCAAGTGGCTGCAACGGCCAGAACTGTGCTGACCCGAAGCCAGGAGCCCTGAGCCTCCTCCGGGTCTCCCAAGCAGATGTAGAGTCCCAAGACTTTGGGCTATCCCTGACTGCTTTCCCAGGCCACAAGGAGGGAACTGGAGGGAAAGCAGGATCGATCTCACTTTTGATCCAGCACCTTGCTAACGCTCCTGAGAAAGCAGCTGAGGACGACTCAAGTGTTCGGGCTCTGCCACCATGCACGGGGTACCTGGATGGAAGTCGAGGCTCCTGGCTTTGACCTGGCCCAGTCCCACCCATGCAGCTATCTGGGGTGGGACTAGCAGATGGAAGATACTCTCTAACTCTGCCTTTCAAATACATTTTAACAAACACTAAAAAACAAAAGCGTGATTTAAAACATTTCAATTTAAAACCAAGAGTTACTCAACAAGCACTTTGCAAAAGATAAACAGACAACAAAGATGAGCAGGCTAGCCCATTAGAAGCTGCTCAAAAATCACGTCACCAGAGGGTCACACGCAAAACAACGAATGACAACACACGTTCCGAAGCAAGGCCCTGAGTGCAGGACGCTGAGCACCACAGATGCTTGCGGGGACGAGGAGAGGCAGGGACAGGCACTCAGCATGAGGAAGCACACTGTGAAGACATGCTGGCCACCTCCTCTGAGACGCGGCCGAGCTCGGCACGGGATCCAGCGCCGGAGCCAGCAGGAACCAGGGCCCCATGCAGCAAAGCACAGCTTCACCCCAGACGGCCTGCCTGTGAGCAGGTCGCCTGCAGGACCCCCAGGCCACAGAGCAAGCAATGGCCAGAACGCAGACCCACGCTGCCGGCGTGGGGGGTGTCACCAGCAGTGAGAACCCTGGGAAAGATCCCAGAGAAGCCCATGGCGTCACACTTCTCTCATGCGCTCCAGGGAACACAGCAGTACCCGGGACACAGGGTCGCACTGGCGCGAGGGGCCAGCTCTGGGCTGCTCCCAGAGGGAACGTGTGCTCCTGTTTAGGAAGGCAAGGTTGTGTCCCTGTCCTTGACCCCACACCACGGCAGGAGCTGTGCCATACTTGCTGCCATACACCTGCCCCCGTGTCACCTGGTCACTTGCAGAAACTGGGGTGCTTCCCTGAATCAAACACCACGCGTCCAGCTCACAACACGTGGGTTTAAGAGGCACGAGCTTAACTGGAGCTTAAACTGGGTGTGCTGGTGTGGGGTCCCTAAAACATGGGCACGTCAGGCCAGATGGGGGAGCAGCTCTGGAACCCCGAGTTGGACTCCACCAAGCCTTGCATGTCATCAAGCCGCTGGACCTGACGGCTGCCCGAGCTGCTCCCCAGACACAGCTCATCTCCCCAGCAGGAGAACGGCAACAGGTGCGTGTGCAGTCACTGGCTCACTCGCTGATGCTGCAGCACACTGCAGGCCTGTGTGCACACACACACACTCACACTTGTACGTGTGCACACACCTACAATCCACAGGAGACAGGGACAGACAAGACCACCAGTGTCTCTTTGGAGTCCTTCAGCCTTAAAGACTACACAGAACCAGGGAAATGCCTTCCCAGCTACCTCTAGGACAATCATGACCGTGCACGCCGCTGACAGGGCTGTGACAGTCCCCCAAACACACAGAGGCCACCGAGGCAGATGAAGTGAGCGTGGGGCCCGTCCGTCCGTCCCTGGCCAGCTGCTGAGAGCCTCAGGATCCGGTCAAGGACAGCCACCAGAGAAGCCCTTAGGACACAAAAGGCGTCTGCACTGGCTCCTGCTCAGATCTCCAGGCCCTTCCACCGGCCCCCACCCAGCCACCGGGCCCTCGGTAGCTGCCCCACCTCCTCTGACCCACAGCTGCGGATTAAAGGCCCAAACGCCATGGTTACGCAGAGAAGTCTGGTGACGGGTCACGGGACGGCAAGCATCCGATTGCGTAGCATTCTGTTTTCTGAAGTTAGGACTTTAGCATTTGCAACAAAACACCTGAAATAGCTGCCCAACATCCAGAGGGCCTAGACGCAATTCCCTGTCAACACGCTCTAACCCCGAGCTGAGGCCACCCGTGCCCCCTTCTCCCAGGGGAAAGCCTGGGAACTACTTGGCTTCCTCACCATGGTCCCAGAGACCCCCTTTTGCAGTCAGCTGAGCAAAGGCAAGCAACGTGCATCTCCCTCCCCTTATTTCTAAGGGTTCCTCACATTGCCCTCATGAGTTGCAGGAAGTGTCCGCTGCCATAGAAACAGCAGCAAGCTCCTCAACAAGCTGGCCTGCCCCCCACTGCCCACGCTAGGAGTGTGGCTGCATCAATTTTGAGTGCACAACTGAGGCTGGAGGGTCTGGGGTCTCTACCTACAGGTGTCATGGTAGACGAAAAGGGGCCGTGTCCAATGTCACACC